TTTGTTTGGGGGTTGTTCGAAGGAGCATCAATTACAATGCCGAGTGGTTGAGTTGAAGTCGTTTGTCTTCCGAAGGACAATCTTAGAATGYGATGGTCAACATTTCTCATTTGGTGTTAATGATATAGAAATTTGTTCTTTAAAGTTATTCTATTCCATTTATACGCCTATTAACTTAATTGTACATGACTGCGGTTAAGACACAGCCATTTATCTAATATKCGCCATGTTAGAGGRCGCAATTCAGTGATAATTTTAATTTAATGGATCGATAAGCTTGATCGAAATATCGCTTTCAGTTGAACTCGAAATTGACCACATTTTGAGTGTGAACACAGATGATGTAATCGTTATACTTGGAATAGTAAATACCATTATCATCAAATCCCAGTTCATGCATATCCCATATTAAGATTTTGATTTAGACTGAAAAATGATTAAAAAAACTCGATTCGACTTTACTGCGATGTGGTGCACTTATAATTAATTACAGCAGACGTGTCTGCATTTATTTGAATGGATTCCAGTCAGGTTAATCCGGCAGAAAAAAAAATTGCTTACAGGGTTATTAAACGAGAAATATCTTAGTACAACATCTCTGCATCTTGCATCTGGTAATCTTGTTGTAATCTGCATCTTTCTAACAGCACGGAACTCGACGAGTGTGTAACTCTTCTACTAGGAATTTGTCTGGTCTTGTTTGTATAAATCTGGGTCATTTCTAGCGCTCCGAGATTTCTCTAAGTACTACATCACGCTTATCCGCTATTTGTTCTAGGAAGTCACAATAGCTTTTTTGAACTTGAAGAAAACAGCGTACACAAAATTGTACAGATTGCTTCGTTATGTGAGTTATTATCTACTTCACTTAGGTGTGTCGGCATGGAAATATCTTTTGGCACTGCCATATAGCATCAGTTTAATGACGCCATAAGGTCTAGAGGTCCAGGAAGGGCGATATTATAATACTTTCATATTGACCCGTTTTACGTTGCAATCAAGGAATATGTTTGTTTACTTGATTCTGTTTTTTTTTTGTTCTCTTGTTATACCCATAAAATGTTTGACTTTGAACATTGAACGAGGTAGCGGTCGATTTAGTGTACTTACAGGCTGGTGATACTTCAACGCTGTGAATTTTGATCGTGAACCTACGGTTCAAAATTCTCGAAATAATCGAACAATGACCCCCAGAGTTCTAGAACTCATTTAAGGTTCTAAATATAAATGTACTTTTCAATATGATGCCTCCATAGGAAGTGTGTTATATCCGGGTTTTTTATTATTATTATTATTATTACGTACGGAGCCCACCAACCTTTTCGAATGAAAAATAGGTCCCTATACTTTGGCCAATTGTGTTGGCCCTGTCACTAAGTTTTTAGCTTTAATCCCAATAATGGTGACTCACCAAAAGCGTTCTGAATTATWTTTTTGCTTAATTGTTTGGATGGCTGTTATTTATTGATGGATTGCCGGATTGGTAAGTTTGTCGGTTTAATAGTCGGTGGTTTGATTGGTTGGTTGTTGTTTTTTTCGTTGATATGATTGTTTGGTTGGTGTGTTGTTTGGTTGGTTGTTTTGTTGGTTGGTTGGTTARTGGTTGGGTGAGTGGGTGGGTGGGGGTTTTGTGCGTTTATGGACGGGTGTGTGGGTTGTTGGTAGGTTGATAGCGTTTTTATCGAGCGTTTCAWTGGGTAGATTTAATGATAACGATCAATCAGTCTAATACTTTTTTTCTTTTTGCACATCGTTTTTATCCCTCAGTAGCTAAGAAAGGTGAATGTCCTGCAATGATACGAGGCTGCTTGAACCTGCTTCCCAATCGATGTGCAGTAGACATTGATTGTAATGGAACCCAAAAATGCTGTTTTGATGGATGCATTTTAAGATGTCAACTCCCCGYTTTTAAAAGAGAAGTCAATTCAAACAGTAAGAAGCTTACTTCATTATTACATTTTTATATGCTTTTGATTTTAATAACTTTTGTAGAGAAGCAACGCACATCTTCCGAATTATTGTGTACAAGTACATTTCTAGATAGTTCCGTGGAGCCTCGCTTTAACGGCAAAACGCCAGTGGCCCGTGCAGCTACTACAGCACCCCGTTAAAACGACCACTTTTTGTTATCAAAATTAATGCGGTTCCATTGCACCATCATCCAAAACCAGAATATATTTATTTAAAATCATTTAAATTATTAATTAAATACATTATTCTTTCATAGTCTGTGAAGCTGAGGTCGATCTAGGTTTCCTCATCGACTCCTCTGCCAGCATTGGATATCAAAACTTCAAACKTGTCCGAAAGATGGTGGATCGCATCATTAACGTGTTCACAATATCTCCAAAGAAAACCCATGCAGCTGTCATCATGATTGATGACGTACCCACGCATGCGCTTCGCTTCAACACCTTYCAAGGRRACGATCTCAATAATGAGAATGTGCGAAGCGTCATCGACAATCTTGAGTTTGCTAAAGGCAAAACCAGGATCGACCTTGCTCTGCGCATGGCTTATAAAGAAATGTTTAATAAACGAGGCGGTGGGCGATCAAATGCTCGAAAGGTACACTGGTTCTTTTGTATTTGAATTTTAAATACAAACGATTGAAACTAAGTCATCTCAGGGGCGTATCCAGGGGGTCACAGGGTGCCCRTTACCCCCCTTCCAAAGCCTAAAAAAGAGCGAAAACCATAGATTGAAATGACATCATATTGACGTCATATGACGTCATAGTGACAATTTGAGGACCCCCCATTGAAAACCCTGCTGGATACCTTWATCAGATTATGGCGATTCTGGAGCTCTACCTGGCAATAGTAAACATTACGTAAAAAGGTACATAACGCATCATTGAGATATCTGAGTCTTATTTTAGATCCTTATTGTCTTCACCGATGGAATTCAGACCTGGGCACCATCTAAAATGACSAAATTGACCAAGGCCTCGGAACCTCTGAAAAGGATTGGCGTGACMATCATTCCTGTGGGGGTGTGGGGTGAGCAAATCAATGTGGGTTCGTTATTGGATATGTCAATGGACCACTATACCGTTTACAATATGGACTTCTTTCCTGAACTACTGCAAGCTTTAAAGAAAATTTCAAAGATACCATGCAAAGGTAAAATATTTAAAATGCGAAAAACATTTTACTGAAGTCATAAGTAGCTGTAGCCTGATTTTCAGACGGGGCCTGGGTCCTACGCTTCACTCCACCCCCACTTCTGAAAATCAGGCTAAAGTAGCTGTCGCACAGGAAGACCGAGACAAAAACAGCCTGACAACTGTAACTTAAGAGATTTTTCAGATAAAAACAAGTACCATCTAAATATGTGAAACTATTGTCTGATGGAAGACAACCGGATTTTATTATTTTCAAAGCCATAGTGCATTTTTAAAAGGCGGAGCATCACATGACGTCATTAAGAGAGARGGTCATTCAAACTGTTAACTGTCGGGATACTTTGATTCAACAGACAAAGCAAAGAGCGGCAGTCGTCAAGCATGGAACAAGATGCTGAAAAAGCTCTTAAAAAAGAGTACCACTTGAAACTGAGCAATGAGAACTTTATAGATAAACTTAAAAGAAGTTTATAGATAAACTTAAAAGATCATCTTTAGAATGGAAAAGCTCTTGGGACATTTATTTTTTCAAATGAAAGACGATTAATTTAGTAACAATAAGACAAGACTATTAAGACAGCAATCACTGATATAATGATATAACGAGCTACATTAATCACACACTTCCATAGTGTACAGGAGTTATAGACAAGAACTAATGTAAGGGCGACAATGACTAGAATAAGTACATAATCACAAATTTTACACGTCTATTATGTTGAGGTTTTGTAATGGTCCTGTACTCAGGGCGGCGTGGGGAARACTGAGGAWTCGATAACGCCTCTCAACTCCAAACGAGAGCAGACTACAGAAAAAATAGCTATGRTTCTTTGGCTCCKATTTTTGCCCTAACCATATTGGAATATTATTTTTCATCAAATGTACTTTTTTACCATTAAATATGCTTTCAAGTTTTTTTGTTATAATCAGTTATTGTTATATATCATACGAATATCTATAAGCTGCTTGCAATCAAGATGAACAATCTATTTCAGGAACAGTTTCATCCTCGTGCATTCGCGAGCGTCTCCCATTGTTACTAAYTGGTGCTGTYGAGCTGTGGTTTTCWATCCTGTTWGTAACACAACAGACGGTTTTCTTAAGCATTTTTCGGAATCTTTTGTTATGAAAAGTGTAAATAAATGGGTTAACAGTCGAATTAAGGCAAGTGAGAACCATTGAACTGATGTGKGTGACATCGCCGTAGTTAAAGTTAGGATGCGCATAACTGAGCATATACGTTGTAAGAATTGGAATCCAGCATAACGCATACATAACACTAACTGTCACCATCATTTTTGTRACTTTTTTACGATATCTGAGCAAAGCCAGTTGTGTGGAAGATGAGTGCTCTTCTGTTTGACTCCAAAGATGATAAATTACTCTCGAATAYAGCAGGCTCATGGAAAAAATAGGGAACACCCCTGCTGCTGTCCACCATATCGACGCGTATGCAACTGGCAGCCATTTCTGTGGCCAGTACTCGAAACAAAAGTTCTTCTTCTCCTCGAAATATATTGTCAAGTATAGAGGGATGTTTAACACAATGGCGCCCAACCAGCAGGCYGTTATAATCATGTTCAGTTTTTTAATAGTCATTTTTCCTCTGTCGCTGTAAGGATWCATTATTGCGTAGTATCGCTCAAATGCAATGGCGACGAGTGTGAACACTGAGCATGCGCCACCTGTCCACGTGATATTGCCGCCAGTTATTATCTTGCACAGCCACGTGCCCGGTGTTCCATGTGGGTGGGTAAAAGTGTCCAGGAAAATGAATCTTGGTGCAATGAAAATCCCAACGAGCATGTCGGCAACCGCAAGGTTTACAAGAAGAAAGTTCATAGGAGTTCGRCTGGACTTTTCTCTGAGAAGAACCAGAATAACCAACAAGTTTCCCACGACACAAGCTGTAACAAACAAGCTGAAGACAGCSGTCAGGGCAGCGCGAGCGGACGGAGAGTCTGAGTACAACGACATCGGTTTAAAGAACCTGGAACCATATATGAGAATTGCTAAATAAGAAAACAAAATTCAATTTAAAAAGAGAAAGCAAAAGAGAAAGCTTAGCGCACATCTTGGACCAGTGCGGTTTTGAGGTTCCATGATCGACTATGAACGCGGGCTCGGTAAACAAAAATTGAAAAATTGCGATTGAGATACAGAGCAGATTTCAGGCATTTTTAAAAGAAAGAATCATTCTGTCATTCCAAACTCCTCACTATGAAAGTAACCTTACTATATATGTCGGCTTCTAGAATCACAATCATGAGTCAAAAATGTGTATAGCCCCTGGTATGACATCACCTGTTTTCAAGTGACGTCACAGCGGCCATGTTGGTGCTTAAACAAAATATTTCTAATTAATGATTTTTCTCATACTTCCAATAAACGCCTCAAAACTTTTGTGTTGGAGTCGTTACATGCTGAATGAATATGGTTATGATGCCGATCTTTTTCTGTAAAAGTTTCAAGCCAGCGGCTGCGCCCARTAAAGCAGACTTTTGCGATCAATTAGTAAAGAAATAGCCAAAATAAGTAAATGTCTCTGTTTTTTTCATGTTGTTAAATACTTGAATCTAAACCAAGAAAGTGAACATGGGATTATTGATAAAATGAGAAAGTAAAAGATATTTCGGTTAGACGTTGGAAATAGGGTGAGTGTAAGTCTTTTAGTAATGATATGGAAAAGTGAAAAAATTCAACTTTCAATAGATTCAATATAAGTGTTTAGGGTAAGAGCTAGGGACTGATTGTATGAAGCGGACAGGCCCTGTTAATTGTGCTGATTTCTCAGTTTTGCTTTGTATGGTGTTCGCGTTGAAAAAGTGATACGAATCATGCGGACAGGTGTCGTTTAGAATACTGAGATTACACCCGTCCAGCCGTACAGAACCGTACTGGATTTTGTATATGAAATACATATCACATATTGGCCTACCTTTTTGGTTAAAAAATATATAAATCCCACACTACATTATATTCTAAATTCTAATTTCGAGAAATTTACAAAACGGCCATTCCCTACAGTGAGCCATTCATGGGTTACACGTAACAATTTCTTCCTTGAAATGAATAACGAATGTACATGGAATAAAGAAAAAAATTAGATGTGATTCATTGCTCACACTTCTTTTCGATAAACTTTAAGCCTTCTTCCACCCAGCTTCCACATTTCTTGTACAAACATTATATCGCGAGCTGCAGGGAACATGGTAAGTGGAAAATAAACAAACAAATCAGAAATTAAACAAAAACCAAAGAAAGAGAAAAAAACACTCAAACAAAAAGGGTTAACAATCACCAATTCCGCATGAAGAGGATGCCCTCCTTGGGGTTTTTGTTGCCTTACCTTTAGGCAATTATCTGTCGATTTTTTTTCTATGTCGGTGCTTGCCTCTAGTAGTGGACCCGTTCTTTTTCGCATCAAGGTAGTGACTCTTGTTTTATAACCGGTCTAAATTTGCATATCTTTGATGATATTCAAGTAAGAGTTTTACCGCTTTTAGTATTCTTTGCAGTAAAACAAATGCAGTTCTATATAAAATAATACAAGTATCCTTATGAGGAAATCAAACGTAACTTTTTTTATTTTGCGGCTACGGTATGGATGTATTTCATACTTATCAACGCAAAATGTCATCAGCTTCAAATCTCTATTTAATTGCACACGGGGTTGACACGTTATGAGATAAGTGTATCCGGACTTTTCAAACATTCACGTACTTAAAGTGGGTTTTCACTTCAAAAATTTGTTGCTGGGGGTCCTAGTGTTTAATTAATATGAAAACATTAATAAACTCAAGTTGTACTCGTTATTTTTCACAAGGATCATTTTTTTTATTTGGTTAATTTTCCGGCAAAAAGTTTTCCAGCTAATTAAAGTCCACTAAGTGAGAATCATTAAAAATGACGAAATAAAGATGTTGCTTTACAGAATTGAAGGAACAGATGTGATTTGAAACACAAACAGTTGAATCAATACAACGAAATCGATAATTGAAAACAACTGAAACGCCTCACGTCACTTCAAGAGGAAGACAGTGATAGCTCTCTAGGCTGAACAGGGAGCACGGCAAAATGTTGTTTATTACCTTTTTAATCCGTTAATACGATCGATTCTTTCGCTATATTTGTAATATGGTTTTCCGCTGACTCTAAGGAATGCTGGCGAGCACCGAAGGGGCGAGAAGTACCGATCCCCGAAGGGGCGAGCTAAATAATTTGATTAAAAAGGTAATAAACAACATTTCAACGCCGTGCTCCCTTGGGCTGAAAAGCACACGTGGCTGTGAAAAGTGTATATTGCCAATTCTGTATCACGGCTTATGACTATACCCGATAGATGAGTTGTTGTTCTTTAACGGAAATCTGTAATTTGCATCAAGAATAATTTTCATGTTTTTTTATAGCGGTAAAAGTTTAAAAGATAAAAAAAATTATCTTGTTGGTGATTTGTCTGGTGTTGATGGTGACTTAGTATTTCTTGGTTTTATAATTTTCTATACTTTTCATAGCAACATCACATTAGTTTCTAATACAGAACGTAAGACAGAGTAGATGCGTGCTTTTTAGCATTTGATAGCCATGTTTTACCACACCCACCTAGAAGTACCTACCTTGAAAACGTATACGCGACAGCTGTAAAATGTTTTTGCTAGTGACGAATAGAAAGTTTGGTGCAAACCCTGCTAGAAGCTCTCCCACACGCTACAGGTCGTACACTCGGAATCGAATAATTTTCAGCAACTCATCATGTATATACAACAATAAAAACTGCTTTCAAAAGTGAATTGACTTTTGAAGCACAACTGGGACGAAAGCATCACCGTAAGTGGAGGCATTAATTCTGAGCGATGTMATTTTTGCTARTGTACACGCATTAACCATAAAAAAAAGTCTTCATTAAACATTAAAATTGACTATCTCATAGTCATTATGTAACTCTCATAACCCGTTCAACAAAAATGATATTTTATGTAGCAAATTTATAATTCTGTTTTGTTTTCTTATCATGACATGTAATAAAAAGCCCGGGTTTAATATAAAAATACGCATTTTTGATCGATTGTGGAGAGTACATTAAGAGCCCCTGGGGTGAAAAAAGCCGAATAAGCGCCGACGTGATGCTGTGGGCGAGGACTAGTTAAGGGATAACAGAAAAATCAGCCAACATATGACTCTGGAGTTATTGTTAAAAAAATTCAAAAAAAAATTAAATTTCTTTTTTTCCATAGATTGTATTTTCATTCGGGTCTTTTATAACAGCGCGGACGCGTAAAAAAATGTAAGTAAACTAGAAACGAGATGAAAAGAAAAAAAAAACGAAAGAAACGCAAGTTCATCGTATGGGACATGGTCATAAGGTAAACATCCAAAAGGGCTTCTTTCACATTTTATTTTGTTATCGGACGTAATTAAGCTGTCACGTTTCCCGTTGTGCGTGACACTATCTATGTAACGCAAGTGGATTAGACAGAGCCCTATTCTACCGGCATCAATAAACAATAGAAAAGATTCAGTCACAACGATATTCTAAATCGTTTGAAACAGACACACTATAATGTACATTAGGTCCATTCGTATTCGTAAACCTCTTCATTTATCCAATGCAGTTCAGTTATATTAAATCACTGAAAAAAGCTAAAACTGAACTGTCCGGAGTGAGGTGGGACGGAAAGTATAAATGCGCGAAYAGGGCTAAAAACCCTCACGACATGACGCAAAAAAGCGAAAAATTTATTAATCTAGTATTTGAACGATGGTAAATTACTGGCTGACTGCACTGAAGCGCGGTCTTCAAAGTAATGATTTATTTCAGCTGAAAATGTTGATTCATGGAGTCAACGATATACCCATGGATGATCTTGGTCGTCTTTGAAAAASACATTCTAATACAATCCTAACGTATRTAAAGACTATTTGGCCTTCAAGGCCTCCTCGCYGATAGCATCATCGCGACGTATTAACAAATTGGCCCAGTAGTTTTAAAACTCCTCGTCTTCGTTCCCAGTTAAAGCATATAGTTCAACATTGACTGCAAACCCTGATGTCTAGACACACGAGTAACTCTTCCACATTGATGAAATGTTTACAGGTCACTATTGAAATATCTCGRGTTTCGTCTTCTCTGAAAGCATCATTCATTGGCTGCATCGGTGATATTCGATTCCACCGCAGGGTATAGCTTTACAGCCGAACCAAAGAAGCACCGAAGGCTTGCACAGCTAACCTGGTTGATCCATAGTGCTTGTGTGTAGTGCTCTTTCCAAGCATTTTGCACAGTACAGGATCTTAGAGCTTGCAGGGCCTAGTTAGCGATGGCACCGCGTAGCTCTCTACTGCTTTTAGGCGTCGTTATTTTGGCAGTTCTGGACCTTTCTTTCTCCCAAGAGGGTGAGTACATTKACTCATAGGCGTCAACTATGAGCATGTATTGATTATTCCTGTAAGTATAGCCTTGTAAATACTACCAGAGCAAAGAAGTAAATGCAAGATATTTATTAACTTTAATATACCTTATTGGGACTCTGTGGAAAGACTTAAAAYATGCCAAAACTCTAAGAATGGCCATATTATATTAACGTGAGCGCTTCAAATGACGATTATATATAATTCTAAAGCAATGCAGTAAAAATCAAAAGTTTCTGTTCTTTTAGTTTTGTTATTTAGCTTTATGAGAACTGTTTATGCGATGATAATAATGTATGAAGGCTGCTGAACGGTCATTGTCTGCAGCTGAAATATAAACCCACTCACAGAATCGCTAGACGAGAGAGATTTTTAAAGTCGTTATTATTATAATAACCGTTGATAATGTAGCATTGTGTTATAATCTTCCCTCTTAATGCTTGTAAAAGCTTTTAAAGAAATATGAATGTGATACGGCAATGTTTTATGTGMATTGAGAATATTCTAGCGGGCCTCCTGAACTTTCGTGACCACTAACAATAAGGCCTTTGTAATGGGTCTCTGAATATAAGCGCGAGCCTTATTTTACGCCTTTGATAATTTGCTTAAATAAAAATAAAAAAACCTCTTAGTCATAATAATCAAAATATCTGATATTGTTGATTTCTTGGTAAAAAAAATTCAAGAAGATGTCTTTGATTTTTATGGTATATTTGGTAGTTAATTTTTAACTTCTTGTCTGAGACTCYAATGAAGATGGGTCAAAACACGTGGCACTAAAGGTCAAATATTTCACACAATATTTCTTCAGAACTCAGTGTATTGAATGGTGTCTGTAGAACACTATCACGCTAGAATGGCTTTACAAAAATACTGATTTTCTTTAAAAAAATGATCTCTATATTTGCTGTATCAAAGCTAGGAAGGAGATAACCGAAGAATGAGAAATGATCTACTAATAGTGACGAATTCCAAACAAGAAAGTGTATTTACTTTTTCCTTACAATTTCAACTTGAAATTTTGATTGTAAATTCCATTATGTTTATAACGGTCCGATTTTGATAAATTTGCTGTAGTTGTTTCATGGGTAATTTGTGTGAATTTCAATCTTTTCTCGCAAAAACAGATCGCAAATCATTCGAATACATTCATATTATGTTTATCAAAGGTTAATTAGAATCATAAATGATCATAAAATKATGTTTTGAGTTTGAAATCTTAACCCTAACCCTATAAAATTGATAGTGATTATAAGTTAGTGGGCAAAATTTCTTCAATCGACTGTATTCGCATATAACGCTTTTATTCGATATTTGATGACTGACTTGTATGCTTAATCTATTGTCATTTAAAAAGACCGAAATGAAATACTTCGCGAAATGAGTACATTCCAAAAGTAGCTCAAGGTGTTATATTTTTTCATCATTTTATTAGCGCCAGGAACTTGTCCAACATTCCCACCGCCAGAAGAGTGTCCCGATGAACCAGATAATGATTGTAACGATGACTCAGAGTGTGCTCAGTTAAGTGGTGAAGGAGATGTATACAAATGTTGTCTTGATGGCTGTGACAAGCGTTGTGTTCGTAAGTATCATCATCATTATTTATCGTCATCATGTTAGAGCGGATTTCGTATGAGTGGGACACCGTTACCGCACGGTTACCGCACAGTTACCGGACCTGGCCTGCACAATTTTGGTGAACCAATGGGGCACTAGAATTTGGTTACAGTACGATTACGGTCACAGTACAGTACCGTCCGTTTCCCACTCATACGAAATCCGCTCTATTATTATCATAATTAATAGAGTACAAACACTAAAAGCGTGCAACACTTTCCACTATTTACTACAAAATAGTATTAATTAAACAATAGAAAACAATAGAATTAGCATAATTTAGGAGTATTTAGTGGAATTTATGTTTTAGTGTTTGTACTCTATTGTTGTCCTCATGCAATACTTTGATCGACGATTATAATGTATTCTATTTTCTATTTTTCTTCCAGCCGCTCTTCCTCCACCAACGCCTGCTAAACCGCGAGTAAGTCATCAATAGACTCGTTGTATCYGTTCATAAATTATTATTTCTATTATTCTCTATTCCATATTGATTAGTCTTTATTCGGTTACCCATTCATGTGCTCTTTCGTTCGGCCATTTATGTGCTATTTTATTCCTTCATGTCCGCATTTTTTTCACATTCCATATTCCTTCCATTTAATTCGATTGCACATTCATTCATCCTAACGTTCATATAATTTCTTTCGTTCATTTCCCTTCTTTATTTAGTCTTCCATTTGTTTATTTCATTTATCATTTGATATAAGTTAATTTTTCTTTCTTTGGGTTGACAGATCGGAGGCCCTGGCGAACCAGGACCAAAAGGAGAAAAAGTAAGAAAATAAACGCATTATTGATATACAAAGAAATTGGTATTCCCTCCATTAAAGTTTATGATATATTTTGTAMGCACATAATCATTTATTGTGAATTTCTAATGCAATGTTAGGGTGCRGTYGGTGCYCCTGGRAGAGAAGGACCTCCTGGAGATCGTGGAGAACCAGTGAGTATAGCTGTTAAATCTGCTCTTAGTTTATTGGTTCCTGGCCTGTCATAAAATTTCCAKTTMATTGTAAYATTTCTGGCTTAGTCTTTTAGACGATATATTTTATGAGTGGTACTGATATTCTTTGTATTTTCAAGGGACCGGCGGGTACGACAGGAGAGAAAGGTGATCAGGGAGAGATTGGACCAGCAGGACCACAAGGTCCACCAGGACCAATCATTGACATCACAAACACCTCTGCTGGACCCGATCCATTATTAGGCAATGTGAGTTATAAGACAAATAGGCGAACTTTATTAATCTTAAATATTTAAAACATCGTTATACTTTTTTAATTATGAAACAGATAATCAGATCCCAAGATTCTAAGGGACCAGCGGCTGGTGGATTAATCGCAGAAATCCGCGGTGCCACTGGAGATCCTGTAAGTACAATCGGACAATTCTTAGGATTTGAAGGTTTATGATTAGTTTGTAGTCATAGTATAAAAACTAATAGATGTTGTCTCGACTATCGAACTTTTCTGTGTAGATAGCGGAATTATCAGTGAATCAATTTTAGCAAATTAATTCAACTTGTCAATCATTTCCTAATATCATTTTTTTATTATTTCTTAGGGACCCAATGGAGCCCCAGGACGTTCTGGCCCACGAGGAGCTGATGTACGAATTTTGTATTTCAACATTTTCATTCCTTGCTCTTTGTTTATTTTCCCTATTTGTTCATGATATGAGTTTCTCCCTTATACATATTTATAACTCATTCTCTAATATTTGATTTTTTTTCTTGATACAGGGTGAGAGGGGTGAGCCAGGAGATCCTGGAGAACCAGGTCCAAAAGGACTTACTGTAAGGAAACACTTTTATAAAATGTTGCTTATATATTTGATAAGATAATCGTCTGTCGTAAAGGATTGAAGACATGGTTTCTTTTAGGGTGATCAAGGCACTAAAGGTCCGCCGGGTGCATCAGGAAAAGATGGAAATGATGTAAGCACTTAACTGGTTATGCGTTAAATGATTGYTGGGCTTTTATTAGAATACATCTATCGTTAGGCAAGAAGCTGTGTACAATTTCGTAAACAAGATTAGAATAATAAACTTGTGCTCTTTTATTTCTTGTTCTCTCGATGCTATCTTGAATTAGTAATTTGTGAATTATAATTATACTTTCAAACTTAAAYATGTTCTATCARTACTGTCTGGTCTGGTTACGGTTTTATTTTACTGTGTGGTTTAAGGAAGTTAGTAACCTTTTTTATTCTAGGGAAACCCGGGTAATATGGGTCCAGTTGGCGAACAAGGAACAGAAGGACCAGCAGTAAGCATATACACATATATAAAAACATATGTAGACACATGAATCGAACTATCACTGATGCTATATCATCACTTCACAATACCACCAAATAATACAACAAAGTTTGTTACAACTGAGAAATTATTACKATAAAATTAAAAAAAGTTTTTAATACTCATTAGGGACCAAGAGGACCTCAAGGTTTAAATGGACTTCCTGGTGTCAAGGGAGATCGTGTAAGTATTGTTATCCCAGCAAGCCCATCAATGCTTTTAAATTATTATCATAYATATATTATCGGCTGGTGGTAATTTACGATAGTTATTTGATTATTTCYGTGTTAGGGTGAACAAGGCGAAAGAGGAAACAAGGGTGACCAGGGACGACAAGGAGAAATGGTAAGTTATGTAATTAACAACAACCGTTCTTTATAAAAATGGAGTATGTCACCATGATTTTTGTTCGTTCAATAACATTAACTACCTGAATGATTATTTCATCACTGTTCATATAATAGATGAAGATTATAGTTACTTTATGTCATAGGGTCCGCGTGGAGAACCTGGTAGACCCGGAAGAGATGGAGCACCGGTAAATTAATCATTTATTTTTAAACCTAGGATATATTATATTATATTTCTAAGTTACTTCTCTTTTCCAGGGAGAGGCTGGTATGAGAGGACGAATTGGACCCAATGGTGCACCAGGAAAACAAGTAATGTGAATTTGCAATTGCAGATTTCCTAGGACTTCTTGTATCATTGACATCATTACTGAATCCTTGATTAATTGAATGAACTATGATTGCAGGGATTAACTGGAGCACGTGGTCAAACTGGACCCCAGGGACCTTCGGTATGTACCAATGCACATCTATTG